ACCAGGGTGAATATCGGTCGAGGAAATCCTCGACAGGGGGGTCGTACCTGTTGGGCTGGTCCATGGGGGGTCGTACTCTTGGGGTCAGTAACAGAAGTGGTATCATGGTGCAGATAGGTAATAGGGTATAGCGCAGCAGAAAATGAAAACATCCGAAAAAAAAATGATATTAAATTTTCTTTGCAGGTTCAGTCGCTCCATTCCTCCACCTTCATGAGAAGGGCGTATTTGAAGGCAGTACAAAGAATGAAAGTGCATCCCCGCAAAGAAGAGTGCCACATGTGCGCACGCGCTGCAAAGGCACCTCCTCCGCCTATCACTCGCTCCTTCTCCCTTAATACCTCGCTGAGAATGACGCTGTTGTTAGGGACCCTGTCGGAAAAACGACAACCGTGAAGAAAAAGCGCTGGGCAAATGAAGTTGTTTTTTAGGTTACAGGAATAGCACAACACACTATGTCTACTACAATACAGTTTCGTTCGAAGGTCCCCATCATATAACACCTTTCAATCGATTCTGCAACTGTGAGTGGAGGAGGGATGCATGGCTTATACCAATACCAAATCGGATGATGACGATTGCTCCTATTCTTATTGTTTGCGTTCAAAGATATTGTTCTAGACACATTCCGAGTGTTGCCAACGAGTCACACTTGCAATGGTGAATGAGGGAGCGGATTTCCAGGTGGCCGGATCCGACCTCGATAGATCCTCGACGCAATTATCTCTTCAACCAAAAAGCTGTAGAAGAAAACTAAACAGACCATCAGGAAGCGCAAACCTTCCGCTTTCCAAAACTATCTTCCCTTTTTCAGGATCTTACAATATAGAGATATATTGCTCTTGAAGTGGCAAAAACTCGCGTGAAAATTTCGGCCTCCTCGACATTTACTCGACGAAATTTGAGAGACCCTATCTTTCTGCAAGGAAGGCTTCCAGAGCAATTTCGATGCTTGTTGGAAACGCGAAATCCAGCTCTATCTAACTCTACCTCAAGCTGCTTCAAAGGTTGTGAAATGGAGGAATGCAACCTTTTCATCGAGGGTGTAGATTCGGACGTTTTTTTTTGAAATTTCGGCAAATCTGACCCAGTGACAATCGCGCCGCAGCTGCCGTTGAATCGGCCTTTGATACACTCGGCTGTTTTGATATACTCAAGCAAGAATCAAGATTGAATCGCAACCCCGTGTCTTCAGGATTTCTGTGCGTTTCTGAACGAACCTCGCCTTGAGGTCACACAAAGTTAATGCCTCTTTCCTCGAGTCGATATTTCAGTATGTACACAAAAGTATGCAGCGATGGAAGACGTGCATAGATGACAAGATGAAGCGTCCTTAGCATTATTTTGCAGAATTTTTTTTGATTTGTTTTGCAGGATTTATTTTAATTGAATTAATTTGCTCTGTTAGAGGGGGTCGTGCCAGGATCTCGATTTCGGGGGGGGGGGTCGTACCTCTGCGACCACGTACTCGACACGATTTTCACCCTGGTGGCACACGTTAAATGTTGGCACGTTAACGGGCCGCTCGCACGAGTTAGCAGAAGCTCTAGAGCGCCGAAGAATTGATTTCTGTGCCGTGCAGGAAACGAGGTGGTCCTGCTGCAAGTCGAGGGACATTGGCCGCGGCTTCAAAGCCGTTCTCTGTGGCGGTCCCAGAACCACCAATGGCGTCGGGATGATTGTCTCTGAACGCTTTCGTGATTCGATAGTAAGTGTGGAGCGCTTCGACGACCGTTTAATGAAGATCGTTGTCGTCATGGAACATCAAAAATACCATTTCTTCTCTGCGTACGCTCCGCAGACTGGATGCTCCGAGCAAAACAAGGACAAGTTCTGGAACCTGCTTGATGAGAAGACAGCTGAGGTACCGTCACAAGAAGCCATAATTGTTGCCGGTGACCTCAATGGCCACGTGGGCGCTACGAAAGACGGTTATAGCTGTCATGGTGGTTTTGGTTATGGGTCACGTAATACTGATGGCGAACGAATTCTTGAATATGCAGACTCGCATAATCTCGCCATAGTAAACACGAAATTTCGAAAACGTGACTCACATCTTATCACATTCTATAGCGGTAAAACCAGAACACAAATCGATTTCGTCCTTGTTAGGCACCGTGATCAAGGGCTCGTAACGGACGCAAAAGTAGTACCTTATGAAACGGTCGTCACACAACACCGACCATTGATTTGTACGCTAAAAATCGCCCCACCGAGACCGAAACTAGCCGAAAGATGTGGGCCAGCGAGAATCAAGTGGTGGCGACTGAAGGAGAAAGAAGCGGCCGTCGTTTCCCGCATTCGATTGCCAGCGGTAACGACTGTCGACGAAACTTGGAAAGGTGCTGCCGAAGCGATCACCCAGGTTGCGCGATCCGAGCTCGGCATGACGAAGCCTGGACGGAGAAAGGTTGATAAGCAAACATGGCTGTGGACGGATCAAGTTAGAGAGAAAGTAAGAGAGAAGAAAAAGCGCTACCACGCTTTTCTTTCGGAGAAGACAGCCGGTTGCTGGCAGCGCTATCAGATAGCGAAGAAAGAGGCAAAGAAGGCCGTTGCTTCTGCGAAAGCAGCTCATTTTGCCGATCTCAATGAGAAACTCGAGTCGCGCGATGGTGAACGGTACATTTACCGACTCGCAAAGACCCGCTATCGCCAGACCGAGGATATAGAAAAGTTCTTCGGCATAAATGATGCGAATGGTCACCTTCTGACGGACCGCGAGAAAGCATTGAAGCGATGGTGTGAATACTTCGAGAACATCTCAACAGTCGAATTTGCTCATCCCGCCATCCTTGCGCTCCGCCAGTACACGGCCCCGTTCAGAAGATAACCATGGAGGAGACCATTACGGCTATGAAGAAGATGAAATCAGGCAAAGCGACTGGTCCTGACGACTTAGCGGCGGACTTGTGGAAATCAAAGTGCTGGAATCCTGCACAGTGGTTGACGGAGTTCTTCAACCAGGTCGTTGCAGAGAAGAAGGTGCCTGAGAGCTGGCAACAGAGCACGACGATTCCAATCTGGAAGAAAAAGGCAGTCCTGCGGACTGCACTAGCTACCGTCCAATTCGCCTGCTCTCGCATAGCATGAAAATCTTTGAGCGAATTGTAGACAGTCGTATCCGTGACGTCGTCGAGCTGACCACCAACCAGTGTGGTTTTGTTGCTGGTTGCAGCACCATCGATGCCATACACGCCGCTCGCCTTCTGCTAGAAAAGCATCGCGAAAAACAAAAGCCGATACATCTTGCCTTTCTAGACTTGGAGAAGGCTTTCGATCGCGTTCCACGTGACGTTATATGGTATGCTTTACGACAGCATGGCGTTCCCGAAGAGCTTATTGAGTGGGTGCGCATCCTGTACTCGAGTCCAAAGAGCCGAGTGCAAACTGCCGCGGGCACATCGACGGATTTTCCCATCTCTGTCGGAGTACACCAAGGCTCTGCGTTATCCCCACTGCTATTTGTTGTCGTCATGGATGCCATTACAAAAGATCTCCAGAAGCCGGTACCATGGACGCTTCTTTATGCTGATGACGTGATGCTCGCTAGCGAAGATAAAAGCACGCTTGAGCAACAGGTGCAAACCTGGTCCGACCGTCTAGCTATGTTCGGACTCAGGTTGAATGTCAAAAAGACAGAGTACTTGACCACCGATCCGAGTGAGCCAGGCTCTATTAAGATCAATGGTACTGAGCTCACACGTACAACAACATTCAAGTATCTGGGATCAGCAATTGCGTCTGACGGCAGCCTGGTCGTGGAAACGAATTCTCGCGTGAATGCAGCCTGGTTGAAATGGCGCTCGATGACTGGCGTTCTCTGCGATAAGAATATACCTGAGCGTCTCAAATCCAAGATCTATAGAACCGTCATCCGGCCGGTCGCCATTTACGGTGCTGAGTGCTGGCCTGCGACCAAAGAAGTTGAAGCCCGTCTCGGTGTGATGGAGACAAAGATGCTCCGCTGGACAGCCGGAGTCACACGATTAGATCGCATTCGTAATGATGTCATCAGGGAGCGATTCGGTGTAGCTCCGATTGTTGATAAAATGCGCGAAGCCCGTCTCCGATGGTATGGACATGTTCTTCGCGCGAATGAGGACAGTGTCCGTAAGATCGGTCTCAACCTTGACGTGCGCGGAAAGCGGCCTAGAGGACGCCCGAAGCAGCGATGGCTCGACACGTTGCACGAAGACTTGAAGAGCGTTAACATCCACCCCGATCAAGCATTCAATCGGGAGAAGTGGCGTCAACACATCAGAAAAGCGGACCCCGCCTACAAGCGGGACAGACGCTAAAGAATAAGAATAAGAAGAAGAAGAAGAAGAAGAAGCAGCTCGAACTAAGCCTAGGAATTGGGAGAAAGTCCCCTGGAAGAAACGAGAATAGCTCACGAGCTGGAAGACTCCCCCTCTACTAACAGTAAATCGTATGGTTACTTTCCAAGCGGTTACAATAAGAGGTTATGCTATCCGTGGTTTTGAACGTGTTGAGCGCTTTAAATCGCAACGGCCCTGCCCCCCCCCTCTCCCCTGCTGGACCAGACCCAACCCTGTTTACATTGCCATGAACTCGACGTTTCTAGAGGTTGGAATCACAAGACATATCCAAAAACGTTTAAATATTATTACGCAATTCTCGAACAATCCAAGAACCGCGTTAGGAACATAACACTTCGCATCACTCTTCAATAATTAGTGTTATGGAAAGATTTGAATGGATCTACGCGTAATGTACGGGGCGTCGGCGCTGTGATACTGTCGACGCCTATGCTCAGAAGTGTGGGTTATCAAAGGGAGCGCTCGCTCAGTTCAGAAGGGCGTTCCCATGTGATAGCATGCAAGCGAAAGCGCATAGTGATAGCGCGGCAAAAAAAACCCTCGTAAATCTCTATGAAGACCTTTGAGCAGCTATGGAGAGCAGTTTCGAGGTCAGGCATGCACTATCCGCATGGGTGGTCTGGTCTGATAACTCTCCCTCGAGTTGAACCAAATGGTTCACAAAATGTATGCAAGGAGGCCAAAGCCTAGTGCGATCCTAACTGTACCGTCATTGGTGCCATCTTTGCCCATGATGATGCTCATCGAAGTGTAGATCTGTTGTGCCACAGGGGGAGCCATTGGACACGAGTAATATCCGGTAGGTGAATTCACCCGGAGATGATCGATTGTTCTCTGAAAGAATTCATTAGTAAAGAGAACAATTTCGTCATGTGGAACTAAAAGAGACATTGAAATTTCGTGAACTGAAGGCACTTGAGCTTTGGATGCAGCAGCGGGTGACGAAAAGTGGAAAGAACCTCCTTCAGAAGCAGTGTTTTGGTGTGCACACTAGGAAGTGGTTGCTGCTCACGATGGGAGTCGTTCAAGACCTGAAGCGCCTCTTCGATACAGTAATGGTACATGCATCGAATACAGAACTACGGGTCATTTTCTCATGAGAAACAAACTAAAGCGCCTATGTGCGTGAGGAAAGTGGTAATCACCTTTCGGTATTTAATTTATTGTTTTCGCAAAACCCTCTACTAGGGCGAATTACCCTCGACTAGGGCGAATTAGGTGCAGGGAGTGTGGCGAGCACGCTAAACGTTGGGTTGGAGCACAAAATAGTGTAAAGTTTTTTTTTCGAAATTCAGTCAATACAAGTATTGCCTAGAAAGAAGCGTATATCACTTAAAAATATTTCTTCGGCTCTACAAGACATTGATTGTCATTTTCTTCATTATCAAATATAGCGCTTCGAAGCCACGAGGCGACAGAAACTGGCAAATCTGGTGATTTCCTACGAAGTGGAATCAAGTTGTAAATAATTATTGGAAGAAAACACCACTAGGTTTTACGTTTTTATTTTTTGCTGCACATTTGTGCAGAAGGCAAGCGCTGCGATATTATGTGGCCAACCAATAAATAAAACTCAAATATAACTCTATCAAAGTAGTTCGCTGAGTCTACCTGCATGACACTTCTAAGATTACACTGTTAGTTTACAAACCAGTGCAGAGAGAATAGACGGTCAAAGGTCTGAACAGGGGAGTGTGTGTTCCACCTCAGCGCAAGATTAAGAGAGCCATACGCTTACATTTCAGCTTGTTTTAGGCATGAAAGATGCTCCAGAACAATCTTGATATCCTATAGCGTGATATGGAAGCATTGGAGCCTTAAAGCCATGCCCCAGGATCACATTGGTGTGGCTCTGGCACACGAATGCGAATTTATTAGTGCGAAATGGGCCAACAGTTTAAAGCAACAGTTCAGGGAGGGTCCGAAAATTTCAATGCCACTACTACTGAGGGATACACGAGCCCTAGTGAAGAACATATGCAGTGGAAATAATAAACGAACTTACCTCAGAAACTCAAAAACAGGGTGGAAAGTCCCTCAAACATGGGTGTTCTTGGGGATTTCCCCAATCCCGCCCCCTTGCCGGCCGTCATTGGACGCGTCGGCAATCGTGCTCGTTTTGGGACCACAGGGAAAATTGATTGAAAAATGGAGCGCGTTTACAGCGGGCACGTTCAGACAACTCGTCCAACGTGCGTCTTTATCCATTGCTGAGCGGCAGAGGGAGAGTACCTGTCTAAGACCCTCCCCGACGTTTTTTTCCAGTTTTTCATACATTAATCGTCTGGTTTTCATCTACAACTTCATTATTGGTGGTTTTTTCCCGCGAAACCGTTCCTGAACTGTTGCTTTAAAGGAATCTTCCACGCTCCGCCCTCATTACCACAGAAAACGATACCTTAAAGGAATCTTCCACGGAAAGAGTGATCATTTTGTCTTGTGTGTAGGATTAGTATTATCGAAACTAACTTATGTTCCGTTCTTTTTGCTATGCTCATGAGGCTAGGGGCCTAAGGGGTATCGTTTTTCTGTGGTAATGGAGGCGGAGCTTTTTCCGCGGAAGATTCCTTTAAGAAAAAAGGAAAAGAATCCGTCGAAAACGCTTAGGTTAGGGCTCACTCACCTTCCTAATCGGCTGTGCTAAGGGAATGAGAGACTAAGCGCGGAGAGGAGAGTATGAGGCGAGAGAGCGCTACAGATGAGAGAGCGCCAGACAACAGCCTGATAAGAGAAAAAACTGCAGCTTCAGCAGCTTACTTTGCAAGGCCCAAGCGCTCTTGTCGGTTGGTTTCCGTGCACGGGAACGCCACATTTGTGATTGTCCTCTAGGGGTCTATACTACAGACCGAAGGGAAGCGTTCACACGACCTCTGCCTGGGTTGTGCCTTTAATGTCCAGAAAAACTTTCACAGGAGAAAAATTTTGAAACCATGTGTTCTCAAGAAAATCCAACATCATATGAAATCTCGCAGTTTCCAAACGAAACTCTCCATGAAATTCACCAACGAAAGGTTTTTATGTGATTTTTTAGACTAGTTGCGACACTTCTTGATAAGCTCGAATCTTATAATTTTGTAGAATTTTTCTGTAGTTTCAGTACTCATTCAAAACTACAAGCTCTTGTTTTTAGTGACATCTTTCTGATTTGGACTTACGGTCGTTCAATGGTTAAAACTCGCATGTGCACGAGAAATTTATCAATTGTACAAGTTTTGAAGAAATGGCTTTTTAGCCTTCGCGACAATGTCAGCCACCGGTGGCTGACGGGCTTTAAATGGAATTTTTGAAAACAAAAGGAGGTCTTTGGGAGATTTTCTTTGCTGTGAAGAATCTTCATACCCTCATCTATCTAGGCCACCCCTGGCAGACTTCAAAATTTCACCGAAAAAGTTGAAATTTTTTTTCCGCTGAAACTTTTCCCATGGGGGTTTTCGAGGGTCCTGATCTCAAATATGATATCCATTTTTGGCGCTTGGCGCCATTGGCGCCAAGGGTGTTTCACCAAATTCGCTGTAAACTTGCATATAGGGGTTATTTGAGGCCCTGATTACGAATATGACATTCGTTTTTGGCGCTGGCGCCAAATTGGCGCCATTTGGCGCCAGTTGGCGCCAAGGGTGTTTCACCAAATTCGCTGTAAACTTGCGTATAGGGGTTATTTGAGGCCCTGATTACGAATATGACATTCGTTTTAATCGTTGGCGCTATTTAACACCTGTTTCCTGCTCGCCTGCACCCTCTCACTATTGGATCCAATCAGGACTAACAAGGGGGGTCGTTCAGGATGTGGAAAGCTTTTTCGAAAACGGTTTTCTGTATGTTATGGGAGCTCATGCGTAGACTACGAAACCGAGGTCCATTTTCGCTGAGCAGCCCCGCGAAGGCAAAAAAAGGTGAGGAAATGGTCCAAGGTTCAATCCCTCATGATGACAAAATTTTTGCATTTAGGTTGGAGCTTCCAAATTTGCTCTAAAAACACCAAGAATAGATATAATGTTCATTATAAAGACCATCAGTAACTAGTGCTTTCAGATTTTCACCGTAATGTGGCGGAAAAAAGTTGTTACGCCAGAGGGGCGCCAAATGGCGCCGTAGCGCAAATTGGCGTAGCAAGTGGCGTAAATTTTAGCAATCGGAAAAAATGAATATTCGTAATCAGGGTCCCAAATAACCCCTATATACAAGTTTACATCGAATTTGACGAAATTCAGTCAGGGCGCCATCTGGCGCCAAATGGCGCCAATTTGGCGCCAGCGCCAAAATGATCCCATAATCGTGATCAGGACCCTTGATAACCTCTATAGGATAAGTTTCAGCGTGAACTACGGATGATATATAGAAAAAAAAAAAAAAAAAGATGGATTTCCCCTGGGACAATGTCAGCCACCGGTGGCTGACATTGCGCAATCGCCTCTGCCGGCGCTGGTCCGAACGGGCAGTCTTCGAAAATCCCGCCCGGTCGCGAGTGGGTTAAGCAACAGCCTGTTGCTGTTTGTTAGCAGTAATTGTTAAATGAAGAGACTAGGGAACTTCGATGTCCGTACAGCGATCAGTGCTTTCAGCGTACGACTTCGACAGAACGATATAATGACCGACGGAAGTAAACTTCATATACCTTTGAACCCGCAATGTATCCGCCTGCAGCGCCGAAGCTTTTCGTGAAACGTGCCCATCAAAATGTCAACGTCCATTGGGTTGCATCCCCAGTACTCGACCACACCTCTACCAGTTGATCCCATCGCACCTGAATCAAAAAGGAATTACTTTCATCACCATATTACTCTGCATATTCTCAAGGCACCACACCACATTTACACCTTCTTTTATGTAGCTACTGGAATTCGTCCTGTCTTCTTGCCATTACCTAATGCAAAACTCGAAAAAAATGGCGAAACCTATTGAATGCGCTTCGTCCAGGTACAAATAAGCGCCATACTTCTTTTTCAATGCGATCACTCCAGGAAGGTTACAAATAGAACCTTCCATCGAATAAATACCTGAAATTACAGCATAGCATCTCCTTGGATAGTATGGATCTAGTCTTTTATCCCTTGGCGTTAGGCTCTCTTCGGAGGCATAGTAGAAGCTGCTCCACCTTTGTTTTAATGAATTGTTAGCACTTCGGATTGAGTTGAATGAGCTCAGAACGTACCTTCGACGATGATTAGGATTTTCTTATATGGCCGATGTGTTTTGGGATTTCCGTAGGCAATCGCGTCACGCAGAATTTTCTCCAGCGAATTCATATCTAAAAACAAAATCTCGTTTTTTTTTATTATAACATTGCTTAAACCTTCAGCTACTTGCGGATTTCTTGTGCATTTTTCTTTTACCAGA